TTCTCTCCACCTGAGGAATGATGCAAATGCACTAAAGCCAGGCGAGATATTCTGGAAATGTTACAATTTTACCCACACAAGGGCTTCACGTTTATCTGCATTTCATAGCTTAGGAAACTGAAGCTTAGGCAAACTGGGTCTCGCAGCCTGTGCTGGACCTAGATTAGAACCAGTTGACTTGGCTCCTGTCAACCTCCTGGTCTAGGGATCTCGGACAAAGTACACTCTTGGCACAGTGCATAGAAACAGCCACCTTACCTTCCAGTCAAAGCTCCAGCAGCTCCCAAGCATCGGCCTGCTCTGTGCCAGGCACTCACCCAGGTGTCCTCTACCACCACTTCTTTCAAGGCCTACTAGTTTTCCTCATTTCACTTTAAAAGCTCAGCTCCCTGGAGTTCTGGCCTGGCTTGGGGTCCACTGTGGCCCCCAAGTTATCTTCATTTCAGCAGAAACTTCTGATTGTCTGGAGTCTTCCTCAAAGGAGCACTTTGGGGAGGCTGGCTGTAAGCCCGGGGAAAGGAAATCCTGGGGCAAAATACCTCTAAAAACCGAAGTCAGTTAAAGGGAGAAATAAAGTTTAAAAACCATTTATTGCTTACAAACTGCAGTCCGGTGCTATCTCTCCTCTGCTCCGGTACAAGCCCGCTGGTAACCTCTCAGGTTCAGACACGCCCTCGGTTGCCCAGGTAATAATTACCCAGTGACCTGGAGACGAACTTCTCTCCACCCCTGAGGATACGCAAATGCACCAAAGCCAGGCGAGATATTCTGGAAATGTTACAATTTTACCCCCACTGGCCTTGTAGTCCTCAACTCCTTGGAGGTCCTCAAGGGGCCCTCTTGGACCTTCCCAGTCACTTCAGGGCAGACTCTACCATTCTGAGGCTCAGTCCCCATCTGCACAATGGGGATGGAGTCTGGCCAGTGCACCATGCCTCTTTTAGACTCATGTCATCCCCACCAGGCCTGGGCAACTGAACAGAGAAATGGGGGTCTATATGTGGACCCAGCCCTCCCCTGGAGCCACTTCTGGGTGTTATTTCCTTATTTTTGCTGCCTGGGGTAAGGCAAGGGAGGAAACACAAAGATCCACCTTGGGCAGAACGTACAGGGGTCGGGTAGCAGGGAGTGGCTGATGAAGGACTTGTAAGCAGTCGGGTGCCCAGTGGCCTGTAACTTAGAAGAAAGTGATTGTGGTTGGTGGCCCATGAAATATTTATCTGGCTCCTGGCTCAGTGCCTGGAATGGGGTAGGAGACAGGGAGTAGCTGGAACAAGGCAGGGTGGGTTTCCAGATATTCAATCTGCTGATTGTTCCAGAGCCCAGGCCTCTGTGCCCGCTCTTAAGATTCAGAGTTTGGCCGTGGGGGACCTTCCAAGTAA